AAAAAAAAGAAACGGCTTACGTCGAATCCACGTCCCATAGGGTTACTTCATAATACACCGCATGCTGCGGCAGCCTGCTGCGTTCTGCGGCGTACGCAGCAGCCTGCGGCGCGCCGCTGCAGTCACAGTGCAAATACAATGCTAATGTTCTTGTTCTTTCCTGGTTTTTTTTCGCGTTCTTTCTGAGTATTCCTTTGAAGTTTGTAAACTTCGTTCCCTTTTACCTTGTCTCATCACGAGTGCTGATTAGAATGCAATCGGAACTAAAGCGAAGTAGTTATTGGGTGTTTTGGATGATCCCTTGATAACGACTGCCGATCCATACGCATATCTGCTTAAAAAAGCGTGGTTTGACGTTAAAGAATTGCTAATATCTCTAGTCTACTTCAGCCCATTTTCTAAATCTTTATTAAAGTTGTTCAAATAATATGATATTTACAGTAGCTACCGTAGTTGTTATAACTGTAATGGAGTTTGATGATCGATTGATTTGTCCCTTTACATTCACTTTCGGAATCTCTCTGAAAACACCAATATGAATAATCAACACTTAGAGCCCGCCCAAACAGTGTCGATTGAGTTGTGCTAAACTACAAGTCGCTATTATAGTCAAAAATTACTTATTAGGCTGAAGTCGCCTTATGGCGACTGGAGGGCCGGTCCTTGATCGATTGGCATATAGTAGGCTCTGCATCTCCACGTGCACGTGCTCTTTAATCAATTGAAACCCCGCCCTCCAGCCGCTAACCTGTTTGAATCAGAGGGTACACACTATGTGTGATGATTAGAGCAGATGATATTCGATGTATAGTAAAGAACTGACGGATTGCCAAACACAGGTGACCCCAACCTAACATAATTGCTCGAGAGAACCGATGTTATGTACCGATGCCGGTGGAAACCGGCATTAGAAATCCTATATTAACTCTATGGTAATGTAATGAATTTTGAAAAAAAAAAGCTGAGAGCTCTCGACCCTGATTTTTGCTCTTCCAGACTCCAAAAAGGACGATGTCTCGGCACACCGACAACCCCAGCAGTACCGTATTCTTATTTGCATCTACGTTCATCGCTTATGCCCTGGTGGTACATTTACTCGTGCAGGATATGTCGGCAACCTTGGGCTTGCAATGACACTATTACTGTTGATTATACTAGCTTAAAAGCTAACGCTATCCATGCGCATAAAACTTTGTTTAAACTCACTAAATTTTGATCTGCGTCCAAAAACTGGCTTTGTGCGGAACTCGACATTTATTTCTTTGTCATCGTGATGTGAATCCACGTCCTTTGTTCCGGACTCTGGCGGTCTTAAGTAACATGAAGCATCTGTTGCTTTGGCTTTCGGCTCCTTGGCGAGAGATTTAGACTCAGCAGAGACTTTCTTGTCCTCCTCCTTTGCTGCAGGTGCCGCTTTCTCCGTCTTCTTCGTGTCTTCTTTTGCTTCCTTCTTCAATGGTTCTAGTGGTATTGCTTTTTCTGCCGGTTT